CGCTCTCCTGGCTTGTCGTGGAAAGAAGCAGGCGCACGTAAAGTTTGGCCGATGTTCGCGAGGTCGAGTGTCCGACTTAGAGTTCCAGACACTCGACGACCAAGGCCCGCTGCCTGCTTTCGTGCGGCAAGATGCTCCACAGAAAGAGCACTTAAGTCTGTGGTTTCTTTGAACTTAATGAGCCAGGGGGTGGTCAGTGTTCAGTAGATTTATCTACCAAATGAAGGGAAAGTAACTTGGGGAATAAAGTATATAGTTTTGTCACAGTGTTCTCCTTTCTCTCACTAACCCACAAATATCACACCACAATTTACTGTCTCAGTTGAATAATTATGGACAGATATTCTACTACAAACTCAGTATGAGCAAAAACAAGGTCCTTCCAATATGCCTTCCTAAAACCTTGAGAATTGGAGGCACAGTTCTCTATAGACTGGAGACAAGATTATCATACATATCTAGGAATAAAATGTTTAAATTGACAGTGACCATATATATATTTAATCATATACATCATATACCCCTTCTCAGCCAAATTAAAGATGAACTGAATGGATGGAATGTTTAGTATCAATATGTCCCTCCTACATAGACGCAAACAAGCTGCTTCCATTATCCGTTAAACCGAACCACACACGGTTGGAAGGTCCTCTCGAGGTTAATAACTGCCTATAACTGCATTACTGCATGTGCTGAATCGATGTGATATCCATGTTATGTATATTATTTTGGTCCCATATCATTTTTTATTATGTGTCCCAATTCAAACCTTTCCATAAAATACAATCAATAAAAAAGTCACAATACCTATTTAATTAAGAGAACACAATCAAAGCACAGTAGACAAAAAAATAAGTTTATATAACCTCACAACATATTAGCAAATCAGTTATAAAAGAGTACTTTCACAGAATTTCTTCAAATTATAATTTGCCTTTTCTATTCAGCCGTGATGTGGACTGTTTGCCTTTGCTAGGTTGTACAATGTATTTCTACTCAGACCTAGCCCTGCTTTGTTACTTTCATCTTAAGAGGGAAATTTATTTATATTCACTGCCAAAATATGTCATTAGCTTGTGCATGAAAGGTCTTAGTTGTGCAACTGTTAGCAATTAAATGTCCATGTGTTTGACTTATTAATGAATTACGGTCTTAATTTTAATGTTTTTTGGTTCAGTGGAGTTCAGGGCTAAATAAACATTTCATTATTTCAACCAATGTCCTTCATTCCAGCTTTAATCTAGGTTAATCTAGGGTATCTAAAAAAGTTTTAAAACTCCTGTTTTTCTAAGGCAGTCGAGTTAAACTTATGAAAGTAACAAAGGGTGATAGCAAATATCAGGATCCTTTTTTTTTCTTCTACCAGCTGTTAGAACCTCAAAGTTAAACCCAGTGGCTTTAAAGGACTACTATAGTGCCAGGAAAGCATACTCTTTTTCCTGGCTCTATAGGGTCCTTGGGTCCCCCTCACCCTCATGGTCCTCCTCCCGCTGGGCTCTAGGGTGAGTAAGGGGTTAATCCCTTACCTTTTTTCCAGCGCCGGGCTCCCTCGTCGCTGGGGACTCTCCTCCTCCTTTCCCCTTCATCGGCTGAATGTTCATGCGCGGCGAGAGCCGCGCGTGCATTCAGCCAGTCCACAGGAAAGCATTCTCAATGCTTTCCTATGGACGCTGGTGTCTTCTCACTGCAAAAATCACAGTGAGAAGCGCGGAAGTGCCTCTAGCAGCTGTCAATGAGACAGCCACTAGAGGCTGGATTAACCCATATGTAAACATAGCAGTTTCTCTGAAACTGCTATGTTTACAGCAGAAAGGGTTAATCCTAGATGGACCTGGCACCCAGACCACTTCATTAAGCTGAAGTGGTCTGGGTGCCTATAGTGGTCCTTTAATTCAAGTACCTGACGCGGTAATGTCAACCCTCCATACTTGCTGATGACTGATCACCAGATATGAACTCATCAATACAATGACTCTTGCCAATACTGTGACATCATCATCATGTGTCAGTAATGGCAGGAAATAGGTTCAAGCATCATGTCCAGTGTATACGTGCTCTGCATTACCCATGCACCATGGGTACATATCCCACCATTGAGAAATCCAGGGCTAATAATTAGACATGTGCAATTCGTTTCGGGCCGAATATGTATTCAGACGAATTTCGGGCAAGTCTGACATTCGGGTACTTCCGAATGACCGAATAGCCGAATTGCCGAATTGCCGAAGTGCAGAATTACCAAGGTCCCGAAGTTCCGAAATTACCCAATTTCCGAAGTGTCAAATTGCCGAAGTGCCGAAGTTCAGAATCACAGTATTGCCTAAGTACTAATATACTTACCCAGTGGAAGAAGAAGAACGTTACACTGTATACAATTTTAAATAAAAAGTATACAAACATAGCCAGGATTCAGTTGTAAGCATTTGCAACACTTACAACAATCAAGTAACACACATTCATATAAAATGTAAGTTACTTGGCCAGCCAATATAATGACAGGAATGAATAATTAGATAACTCCCTAATTCCCACGGTATTAGGGAGCTATCTACTAAAAGGCTGAAAGACCTAAATTGGTCTTTAAGCCAAATTTACTAATACTAAGTAATACTAATAGATTACTTAGTATTAGTAAATTATGCCCCTACTCGCTATACCGCAACTAGGGGCATGTCTATTAAACATTGAGCAGCCTGTGACTGCTCACTGTAAAAAACAAACAAACAAACAAACAAAAAAAAACACCTCCCCCCTCCCCCTCCTAACCTAAAGGGGTGACCTATTGCCCCCCCCAGCCCCCACCCCTGAATGGCGGGTGGGGGCCCAAAGTAAAGTAATGGGGGGACCTATTGTCCTCCCCCCCGGCCCCAACCCCTGAGCGGTGGGTGGGGGCCCTAAATCAGAATAAGGGAGGGACCTAATGTCCTCCCCCTGGCCCCCACCCCTGAGCGGTGGGTGGGGGCCCTAAATACCAATTATGGGTGGACCTAATGTCATCCCCCTTGGCTCCCACCCCTGAGCGGTGGGTGGGGGCCCTAAATACTAATTAGGGGGGGACCTAATGTCCTCCCCCCTGGCTCCCACCCCTGAGCGGTGGGTAGGGGCCCTAAATTAGAATGAGGGGGGAGGACCTAATGTCCTCCCCCCGTATCTCACCCCTGAGCGGTGGGGGCCCTAAAATACTAATTGGGGGGACCTAATGTCCTCCCCCTGGCCCCCACCACTGAGCGGTGGGTGGGGGCCCTAACTACTAATTAGGGGGGGACCTAATGCCCTCCCTCCCTGGCCCCCACCCACCGCTCATTTTTACTTAGTATTAGTAAATTTGGCTGAAAGATTAATTTAGGTCTTTCAGCCTTTTGGTAGAAAACTCCCTAATACCGTGGGAATTAGGGAGTTATCTACAATGCGGCTGCAAGAGAAGTTCCGAAATTCCAAGTCCCGAAGTGTCGAAGTGCCGAAGTGCCGAAGTTGCCGAAGTTCCGAAGTGTCGATGCGCCAAAGTGCCGAGGTCCTGAAGTTCCGAAATTACCGAATTTCCGAAGTGCCGAAGAACCGAAGTTCTGAAGTGTCGAAGTGCCGAAGTTCAAAAGTGTCGAAGTGCCGAATTGCTGAATTGCCAAAGTCCCGAATTTCGGAATGCCAAACCGAACCGAAATTTTTTCCCATGCACATGCCTACCAATAATTACAATGTCATGACCTTGTTTCCATTAAGCATCATAACTCCCTCCCTTCATCAGTGCTATATTGTGTGTATAATGTGTGTATAATGTGTGTATGTGTGTGTGTGTTTGTGTGTGTGTGTTATGGTATTGAACTTTTGTTATGTATAATGTGCATGTATGTGACATCCGAACCAATTTTTTGTTTTTTCTGCCCCAGACTGAGCAGTATCTCCCCATCACTGTGGGGTGGATAGCAGAAGCGACTATATATAAATGAGATTTTGTTTCAGCTACAGGATGTGTCAAGAACAACAAAGGTGTGGGAATAGGAGGCAGTCAGTAGCAAGCAAGAAAGACCAGCTACAAACCAGCATGGAGAGACGACGGCCTACTCCCTGGGATTACTAAGGAGAAGTACCATTCACTAGAGGTGGTGGACTGTGTTGGAATAAGGGAAATTGCATTTGAGAAAGTTATACACTGATGTCACACATTTGGACTGTAGTTGGCAGCTGAGTTCCACGGAGCATTAATCCACAAATAAGGATCATGGGAAATAAGAAAGTGATTGTTATATAGCAGTTTATTGCTTTTTATTTCACAATTTTAAAATAAAATGCTAATGTGGCTAGAGTCTGTGTTTAATTATGAATGGCCTATAAATACAAATTAAAGCTAAATTGCTCAAAAAAAGTTATGTTTCATGTTCCAAGTTTTAAATTGGGAGTAATTTAGACCAATGACTCCAAAGCTTCCCAATGTGACCAACACCAACTAGCCAAAAAGCCCATTTCAGCTACAACAGACTTAAGCCAAGGTCATCTTGACTTAACTTCCCTTTTTTGATAACGAGCATTAAATCAAGCAAAATATTATCAATTACCATTGATCAGCAGCTTATACAAGGTATTGAAAGTTCTAGTGGGACAAAACCAAATTGACCTGCTGGCGTGAAGACAAATGGGACTTCCCAGCTTGGTGAACATTAATGTAATGGAGAAGGTAGGGGGAACATCGAAGGTTTTCGTGTGAAGGTTGGAAGAGGTATCATCCAATCTGACCTCACAGATAGGAAAGGAAAACATGTGAAACAGAATTCTAGATACACTTTGGATGCCAGATGGGGGTGTTGTATACAATGCATCATTCAATGCCAGGACACTAAAACAGTTGAGCTGTTAGTTCTAAAAAAAAAAAATTAAGACAGGTGCCTGATTGACATAAATGGATTAATCGTGATGTGTCCTGCTGCATTGTTGCACTATTTAGAAATCGTGGGTCTGTCGTATTATTTTTTTCATTGGAAATGCTTTATTAATAAGAAAAACTAAAACTCAGCATTCATGTGTCCAGATCCCATAAGGAATTGCAGAGGATGTTTTTTGTTCTGAACCAAATTATTGTGATTACAGATTTACTCTAACTTTATTCAATGAACCGAAAAGTTGCATCTTTACATCTGGCATTAAATGAACAATATTTCACAATAGGAATTTTTAAGTGCGATATATTTTCCAACCAGGATACATTTTATTTAAACTCTAGAAACCATAAACAGGACAGTAAACAGTATGTGACTGTGAGGGATATAATTAATTTATAATATATGAGTATTGACCCAGAACTCCTGGATTTGCACCCCTCCCTGACACAGTTGCTCACTGCAGGCCACATATAACCCTTGACCTGCAGAGAACCCTAGGATGATGGATTTCTCAGGTAAGTGGTTTGATCTCATAGGAGACGTCTTTAGGTTACATTTAAGAGGTACATTGGGATTGTGGTAGGCTAATACAATGTATGATCAGAAACTGTAACAAAATCTATTCTATAATGGTGCATGATCCCCAAACGTCAGTGGACAATGTGAAGTGCTTAAACGGCGGAACTACTGGAGGTGAATCTAGTGCAGCTATACTGGTGTCTGCACCCTGAAGGGGGAACAGAGGAAGAAGATAGGAAGAGGGCACGAACTGTGAGAGACAGCCTCTGACTCCAGACAGCCTCAGTCAGCAGATCTAACTAGACCCCAAGGAAGCCACATTCCTGCACTCAAAAGGTAGGAAACAATAGGGAGGCTAACAAAAAACATAGTGATTGCAGGTCAGATCGCTCTCATCTGGACAGGCTGATAATGGCCGGTCAGCTCTCCCTCCGCTGGACGATAAAACACCTGATGAGAAAATAAACAAGTTGTATATAAGAAACCACTGCTTTCAAACGGCAACAGTACAATAAAAACACGCAATACAACACTACACACAAATACACCCCTTCGTTCACACACACATTCTCCATACAAAAACATGCTTACATTCAAATACTGCTCAGTGCTAAATACAACCGTGCACGGATAGGCAAACGGTAGATCCCCAGTTGGCAAAGCATTGTTGGTAGTTGTACTACAGATGGGAATCTAGCTTTTGTCCACCTGTGCGATAAGGGGTCCCCAAACAATTCTTGCACCAAGGCCCTCTCTATGTTAGTTCTTCTACAGATGTATTTCATTTGTGGGCTCAGACCTTCCGTTAGTGAAATCAGCCGAGTTCACTGTTTGAGAGAGCTAGCTAGTGTTGCATTGTTGCTCCATAGCCAAGTGCAGTGAAATGTAGCAAGAGGGTAGCCGCACTGTGTCGGGAAAAGCCTGGTAAAATAAGTTGGTACCCCTGTATGTGCAAGGTACTAAAAGAAGCCCAAAAACTATTTACCATGTGACCCTAATGTTTTAAAAGGACACGTGGTCAGCACTTTCATTTAAAAATTTCCCCGGTGTTATTCTTATTGTTCTGATGTGCAAACACTGGTAATTTATGCAAAATATTTTACAATGAAAATAATATATTAAATATATAGACTTAATATTATTGAGACAAAAACAACAGGTTTATCAAGCATGAAGGAATTCAAGAGACAATCCTTCTCTTGATAAATATAGTCCTTGGCATGTGGATGGACTACGACAATTGAATGATTAATTGAGCCATTAATCAGGACAGACCGACCTGGCAGTCAAGTGCAGTTGTAAAAACATAGTAACAGTTTGCACAGCTCAAAAAACATAGTGATTGCAGGTCAGATCGCTCTCATCTGGACAGGCTGATAATGGCCGGTCAGCTCTCCCTCCGCTGGACGATAAAACACCTGATGAGAAAATAAACAAAGTTGGATAAGAAAACATTGAACTGTGAGAGAATATACAGTCTCCCTGTAATGTCTATCTACTCCCATGGGACCAGCTGGAATAGCTATCACTGACTATATAGCTGCTACATATTTGTCCACAGAAGCATTTTGCGCACATTGCAATGGGTGCCATAAGGACAGATTCTCTTATTTTTACTTATGAAGTTAAGTTTCTCTTATACCATTCTTTTATCTGTTGTATAACCGTACTATCACTCCCTCGATATTAAAGAGCATTATGGGAGATGTAGTTCACAACATCTGGAGTGCGGAAGGTTGCCTACCACTGCTCTAAGCAAACATATCCCTTACAGCTCAGTGCAGTGCTTCTCCTGCCATTTGGACGTGGTCTTGAGAACGCAGAATATACACTTCCTCGATCGTTATCATGTTCGTCTGGCCTAATGGTAGGCTGAGAGATAGTGTTGATATTGATAGTGTGTAACTGTGAATTCTGCATTTGAAAGTGACTGAAGAGTGGCAGGCTCAAATTTTTTAGAGCCCATTTCATTGTTAAATGGCTGTGATATTAAATATTTGGTGCAGTTTGTCTCGGGACATATTATGAACCTACAGCTGTTCCATCATTTTTTTTCCTGATTTAAAACTGTGTCCCTGAAATTTCGTTCTGGATTATGAAGTCTCAAAATGGTTCTAAAAGAAAAAATATATATTTATGCCTCTGACACAAAGGGTTAAAAACATATTGAAAATGACATATTTGTGCCCCAATGGATGAGCAATGATGAATGGTGACAAGATCTGGACACATTTTTTGTTTTGTGTGTATTTAATTTTTTTAAATCTTCTCTTTCAGAATTCATAGATTCCAGCCAATCCATCTACAACACAGTCTGGGACAACTTGGGACAATGTAAGAGAAGGTTTATCAGGGTGCATCCATGAATTAAATATCACTTTTTTCACTAGTGCTCGTAAAATGTAGTTAACTTTTATGGTGTGCTTTTCCAACATATTGCGAAATGCCAAAGTGTACCTATTCTGGCATAATATGGACTCAGGCTGTTAGTCTGTGGGAGAGAAAAATGCAAAACTAATTTAAAGAAAATAAACACAGTTATCTTATAAAGGTAAATGTTTCTTTTCTATGTCACAATCTACCTGTCATCCCCTCTCAGGAAAAAGAATGTCATTGATTTTACCTATGCCAATAGATGTTATTATTATTATTATTATTGTTATTGTTAATTGGTGGGGCACTACACCTATTGCCCCTATGAATGAACCTTGGCTACTTGTAGTAATGAATTTGAATAAGAGGCAATTTCATTGAAGAATGAGTGGAACCAAAAGCAGTGGAACACGACCTTGTCCACTCCATCCCATTCTGAGTCTATGTCAGAAATTCAACACTTCTCTTTTTCTAGGAGCTCTATAGTCTTGGTGTGTCTGAGTGTATAGAAGAGCTCAACAGTGACAGTACTCCCGGTAATGTGTCTTTAAACTACAATGAATGTGTTTATAAATCACCATTCGAAATTGGGAGCTATGGGATTATAGTTGTCCAACCTTGATCCTCCAGCAGCCATTGGATTACAAAGACTATCAGGAAATATCTGGGAATGTGCACCATAATCTAACAACCCAAGGCTGGCCTCCCTTATTTGCTGGGATAATAAAGATTATCACGAATTGCTCTATTTGTCAGGAACTTCAAGAGAACATAGCAAACACTATAAGGGATGGGAAGTGGTTTTAAACATATCTTGAATTTTAGATTGTGCTAAAATGATGTGACGTATATTCGTAATCCTCCCAGGAAAAGCCAAAGAAAAGTTAAAAAAAAAAAAAAAAACAGCAAGACAAACACAGACTGATAAGCGAGCTAAAACAACAATCAAACAGCAATTTACTGTTTACAAACGACAGTCCTCTGAGAGATGGTGCGTGTTTCTGTGATCAAAAAAGTAATTAAGAAAACTTCCCATTAATATTCTGTGTTTGATAATTTATGGATTTAACTCTCCTGTCAAAGCCAATCTCTGCTAACTCTATCAATCGTTGTTAGAAATGTTGTCCTTTTCTGCCAATTTAACCTAGTTAGCAGAAGAGAATAAACTGAAGCCATGTTTCTGTACTCCTCCTTATTTGCATTGTGTGCCTTGCCTGTGCCTTCACTGTACTCAATTGGGATGTAACTTGCTAACATTAACATTTTGCAAGAAAATTAAGCATCATGTGAAACAAAAGTTCGAAGAACACTCCAAGTACTATAACCACTAAAGTTCACTGGAGAGCCATTCATTTCCAAGTAGGAACTTCTGTAAGCCCTAATGAGCAAAACCCTGGGGTGTTTAGAAAACCAGATAGATTAGGACAATAAGCAGCTAAACATGGTAAGGGTATACTTGGGGACATAAATAAATTGATATATGTGCCAAGCTAAACAAGGTACTTTATGGTGTCCTGTGAGTCAGTCTGTTTGTTTCACACCAGGCAGCCTTGGAATAAACCAGTGAGATATTTTCTTCACAGTCCAAAATGAACATATTGTACCCTCAATTAAATGCATTGTTTGACAGAGAATATAGAATTTTATTTTCAAATCAGTTATTGTTACCCAAGATATTTCATAATTTTTCCATTCAGTACAATTCAGAGTTTGGTGAAGACACACATAGACACGGACACACACACACACAAACACACAGAGTCTCTCTCTCTCTCTTTGGTATTTTTTTTATGTGTTATACTTTATTTGTCGGCTATTAGTATATTCACTATTATACAATTGAAATAACCCCATTAATTGGAATTTTATCTTTGTTGTCATATTTGACGACATGTGAATATTTAAAAACTGAAAACACCAAATATTATTTTGTTTTACTGTATTAACAGAAAATAATTTTCTTACATCTGGACAGTTATTCACTAACAAAATGCTTAGTCAACTTTATGTGACTTATGTTCACAGTACTCAGGGTCACTAAGTTAAATCATCCTCGATCCAGCTCATTTATGACAAACACATAAACTATGCAGCATATTCTGAAATTGACAGATCTTCTAGATTTAGTTTATTTGGTCCAGGAAGCCATAAAATGAGTTTTAGAAATTGCCTGACTATACAATCATTCACAAATAAAAATTAACCACATTTGTCCTGATGAGTTATGTGTTTGGAAGATAATAGCATCAAAATTTACTGCCATCATAGAAAGCCACCATTTATGTTAAATACATGTATTATTATTATTTTTATTTTTTATTTATAGCGCCAACAAATTCCGCAGCGCTTTACAGTGGGTGGACTAACAAACATGTGTAACCAGACAAGTTTGACGCACAGGAATAGAGGGGTTGAGGGCCCTTCTCAATGAGCTTACATGCTAGAGGGAGTGGGGTAAAGTGACACAAAAGG